CCCCCCATCTCCACCAGCTGAGCCAGCGTCTGACCAGGACAGGCCTGCAAGGGCTTCCCCATTACAGTGAGAGCAAAGCCCAAACTGTGGTCTACAGTTCTCCATGACCTGACCCATCTGCCCCCCACTCCTCCTCCTGCCCTTGCTCATGCATTCCAGCTACACTGACCAGCTTGTTCCAAGAGCACTTGTCTCAGGACCTTTGCACTGGTTGCTCCCCCTGCCTGAAATGCTCCTCCCCCAGACAGCTGCTTGACTCCCATTTCCTTTCCACCCCACCCTATTTTAAATTACACCCCACTCCCCAGCACTGCCCCTCCTTTCCTGCTCCGGTGCTAGATGCTAGCCCAGGCATCACAATCCTCAGATGGGCTCTTACGGGGAGACAGCCGGTTTCTACAAAGGCAGGTGAAGTCATGTTGTAGTTGAGCTGCTCCAGACAGCTGAGAACCGGTCCTGATCACAGGGCTTGAAGGACACCAGGGAAACTTTGCAGGGTTTCCTCCCCCAAAAGCCTCTGGGTGCTGGTCAGCGGACACCAGGCACGGAAGGCCGCCCTCTTGTGCAGTCCCAGCTTCAGCCCTCGTTCCCGGTATGGCCTCGTCTGCCACAGCCGGGCGGCAGGGTCGGTCAGGCCTCACAGGCCCTGGAAAAGCACCTGGGTCCCTTTCCTAGGAAGGTTATGCAAGTGGCAGCACCTCACAACTGGTCATTTGAGGCAGCCTTAAAGGGAGAGCAGGACATCTGACCACTGCGAGCGGTTTGCAAACTACCTCACACCCAACCAAGTCCTCGCTGTTCCCGGGAGCACCGCTGTCACCAGCCGGCATCTCAGAGCCCTGCTTGGGGAATGGCTTGTATAAAAATAACTGATGACTGCCTGATGGGGCCCCTGGCTAGAAAAAGAGGTTAGAACCCACCACATCAGCCACATCTGAAGTACCAAGATGAGTATGAGGACCTGCGTGGGTGAAGACGTTTTCCTTTGGTCCGTGAGGAACGGAGATGAAGGCAGCTGGGCTGCTCTTGGTCAGGGGGAGGACGCGGGGTTCTGGCCTCAGCGTGACATGGCCTTGGGCCAGTGAGTGGATGATAAAAGGAACCCACTTCTCTGGATCTGATGCAGGAGCCAGATGGTGAGAGAGAGACGTTCCCCCCCCCCC